TTTAGAGAGATGGTAATGATAACCCTATATGCAAGATAGAAAAAGAGACACAGATGTATAACAGACTTTTGGACTCTATGGAAGAAGGCGAGGGTGGGATGAACTGAGAGAACAGCATCGAAACATGTATATTATCAAGTGTGAAACAGATCGCCAGTCCAGGTTGGATGCATGAGACAAGTGCTCGGTGCTGGTGCACTGGAATGACCCAGAGGGATGGGATGGGGAGGGAGGTGGGAGAGGGGTTAAGGATGGGGAACACATGTAAATCCATGGCTGATTGATATCAGTGTATGGCAGAAACCACTATAATATTGTAAAGTAATTAGCCTCCAACTAATAAAAAAAAATTGTGGGGGGGGTGGAGCTGTGCTGGGTCTTCATTGTGGCGCTCAGGCTTCTCCAGCTGCGGTGCACTGCTCCAGACTGTGTGGGCTCAGCAGTTGCGTGGACTTAGTAATGCATGGACTTAGTTGCTCTAAGGTATGTGGGATCTTAGTTCCCTGACCAGGGATCAAATCTGTGTCTCCTGCACTGGAATGCAGATTCTTAACCACTGGACTGCCAGGGAAAGTCCCAAGAAATCCATTTTACATACAACACTATATATGGCTTACATATTAAAAACAAACAAAAAACATCCCCAAAGAAAACAGCAGGTCCAAGTAGTTTAACAGGTGAGTTCTAACCAACTTCCAAGAAACAGGTGATCCAGTAAGAAAACGGAGTGGAGATTCTTCAAACGATCCTTGAGGCCTTGACTCTGGTGCCAAAACCAAGACACAGGGAGAAGCCCGCCCCACGGCTTCGTGAGTGCTGCCAGGATGCTGGAGCAGATAATTTCAGGAAGAACGCACCACAGGCTGACGGGATTACCCACAAACACCGGATGGTTTAATTACAGAAAATCCGGAAATGCAACTCCCTTGAGGGATTAACAGGGAAAGGGTGCTTGTGGGTGCAGGCAGGTGGCAGGGCGGGGCAGGCATCCTGAGTGAGTGAAGTCTAAGCAGCACCCTGAAGATGACCCAGAGTGGGGGTCTCAGCACGGGGCTGGGGGGGTGGTACCAGGCTCTCCCAAGACGGCCTGTCCTCCACTGACCAGGAGCCCTTGGGCTTCACAGCACAGGAGCAGCAGGACTTGGCCTGTGCTTCAAAAGGCGAGGGATCTGGGGGCAATTATTATCTTCCAGCAATGACCGGTGGGCCCCCTCCATGTGTCCCCTCGGCCCTGGGCAGCAGAGTGATGAACACCCAGCTGGCCCTTCACTGGGCTCGTCCACACGGATTCCACGTCCACACGGATTCCACGTTCACAGCGGGCAAAGCTGATGTGATGGAATGGCCTGGCTGAAGGCAGAAAGAGGAGACAGAGATGCAGATGTGGGTGGGAGGGCAGGCCCTCTTCCAAGTGGTTCCAAAGACCCAGGGCCCTGGCCCAAGAATGTGTGTCCACTCCCTTGACCATCTGTAGGCCCCAGCACAGAAGGCTGGCTTCGAGGGCTCCCTGTGGGACCAGCGTGCAGGGTGCTCTGAGCCTGGGGCCTGGTCCACCGCCTCCTTCCTCCTCTACCCTGGCTCAGGCTCTGCTTTCGGGGGGCATCTGTGCCCTCTAGTTTGGGGCCTGGTTTGCCCAAGGGAAGGCCCAGTGTTTCCCCACAGTCCAGGGAAGTGTGGACAGAAGGGGATTCACCCTACCCTTCCCCAACACGGAGCTCTGGTTGGCTGGGGCTGGTCCCTGGCCGGCAGTGATCACAACCTGGTGATCTCAGCTCCGTGCAGTAGGCCTGGGACTCCCTCCCTTCCTTGTCCCTGTGGCCCACGCCCAGTGGTCCCTGTCAGCCCTCTGGGCTCTGGGCAGAGCCCAGGGGGTGCAGGGGGTGGGGGACGTGAGGGCCGAGCTCCATGCCCCGCCATGTCCCACAGGGCCGGGCCTCAGGTGGTCTCCTCCTTTCTGGATACTGGAGGGTCTGGTGGGTGAGGGCTGGCACTCACCCTCCACCAGCCCTCGCTTCTTGCCCCGAGGAGCCTGTGTGTGCACATGTTGCGTGTAGGGGGGCACCAGCCCTGAGCAGGCAGGGCTGGGCTGGGCAAGGTGGCGGCCGGGGTCTGCAGGTGGGACTCCCTGCCGTGCCGTCACCCAGCAAAGCTGCCCTAGGAGGAGAACCCTGCGAGAATCCCCAAGACAGCTCTGCCCCGAAGCTCCAAGTGTTTCATGTGGTTCCAACTTGTCGAGTACATCACCCAGAATTTCAAAGAGCCACCAGGAAGGCAATCCTCCGTCTCTCCTTTCCCTCCGAGCCGGTTCCAACGTCAGGTCCTCTGCCAAGAGGGTAAGCCCACACCCGCACGCACACGCTCACACCAACTTGAAAGGAATGTGTCACCACCGCTCCCTGGAGCCAGCCCAAGTCACAGGGACGTCCAGTCGCTCACACACAGCTTGGCCGAGCCCCGTGGGGTGGGGACAGGCTGTGGGCACACACCCCTGCAGCGTGCGGGGCTGACGATCTGGTCTGGCCACCCCAGGGCACCCCTGCCTGGCAGCTCTCAGTCTGAGGTCCCCACTCCACAAGCCTGGGTGCCCCCACTGTGCTGCCCCCACCCACCCCGCTCCCTGTGCCCCTCTGAGGGTGGAGCTCAGCTGCCCTCGTCTGGGATCCCGAGACCCCTGGAGACTCACGGGAGGAGAATGTTTACGCAGGACCACCTGAAGCTGCTCAGTCACTTTGGATCACATCCCCCCAGCACGGGATCCACCACGATGGATGGGTGCGGGGTGCCGGCCATGGGGGCTGCACCCCTGCTGCTCTGAGGGTCCCTCAGCCCAGCGCCCCTCAGCGTCACACCAGACACTCCCATCTGGGAACCTCCCCACTCCGTGCATTTCACACGTTCCTTCATCCAAGTCCGGTCAACAAAGAGGTGAGGCTGAGGATGCCCTGGTGTGTTGTGTCTGGAGGACGACCACCCCACCAGGACTGTGTCTATGGGCACAGGTGGAACCTGCCTGGCCGCACCCACGGGGGCCGCATCAGCCCCTGTTCAGTTGAGGAACCCAGGGTGCCGGGGCCTGACCGGCTCACCCGGCTGCTGAGGGTTGCCTGCAGCGGTCAGCCCCAGGGCCCCACCCCTGCCAGGAAGGAGGGGAGAAGCCAGAGGGGGACACAGCACAGTTTCCCGAGGCAGGGGTGGAGCAGACCGCAGCGTGGAGTCCGTGCCCCAGGCCACACGGTGCCCCAGGAGAGAAGGTGCTGGTGGAGAGGGAACCTGGGGGTGATGGTGGGTCCAGGTAGATGGCCTTGATGGGACAGAGGCTAGAGGGTGGCCTCCGCGTGACCCATCTGCTCTGTGTCCTCGGAAGCTGGGCTTCACTCCAGGGGAGGCTGGGGGTCCCAGGGTGAGTTCACACCCAGGAACCCTGGGTCCTGGGTGGGGAAGGCAGACTGTCCTGTCCTCTACAGGGGCGGAACCAGGGGTCTGAGCCCCCTACAAAGGCCGCTCCAGCGTCCTGCTGTGCTCTGAGGCACGGGGAAGGCACCCAGGGCCCGGGCATAGCCTCCTGGCCACGTCATCTGCGGTCAGCCCTGGGGTGGGGGGACCAGTAGCAGGGGAGCCTGGGGTCACCGGGGTGGGTCCCCTCCTCCACCCAGGGCCCCTGACTGACACATACGAGGGGTGCAGACACCAGCATGACCTCAGAGCAACCTGACTCTATAGAAACCAGACAGGAAGCAGCCATGGCCACATATGGGAGGGAGTGGGGAATGGAGCCCCGAGAGCTCTGTTCTTCCAGTCACCTGGGCCAGAGCCCACAGCGACGCCCTGCCCAGGATACACCCAGGACACGGCAGTGAGCAGGCTCCCACGCCCACAGCTCTGCTCACCATCTCCGGAACCAGACAGGCAAATCGGAGAACGAGGGTGGGCACTCACCCCAAACATCCTAACACCTGGGGAAGCCCAATGCCGTGGGAGAAGGGCGCCAAACCAACAGAAACGTTCACAGAGCAACCAAACATCCTGAAACAAACCTAATTAAAATCCCTAACGGGAAAAGCTCAGGATACGTGCACAGCAGGCCCAGGACGCCGTGCTCAGGCAGGAGGGAAGGTGTGGGGAGGGGTCTCACGTGGGGGCTGCAACCATCTGCACAGCTGTGAGGTGTGTGCTGCATACCTGCTCTTGCTCGGCGGCTGGGGTCGGTGCCAGGCAGTGGGTGCCCACGTGACCACCCCTGATAAACTCCCTCAGCACTTGTCTCCCAGGAGCTCCCTGCTGGTGAATCAAGTGCACCCTATGTGACCTGGCCAGGAGGGTCCCAGGAAGCCTGTGTCTGGTGTCCCCCCGACCTCTCCCCAGGCCATGTTTCTGGAGGTGCTGGAGCCCCTGGGCCTTTCCCTGTAAGAGCTGGCAGCTGTGAGGCCTCCCAAGCACCCCCTGAACCCAGGGTGGCATCAGGGACCCCACCTCACTATCCTGTCAGAGATCAAAATAGTACAAAGTGGGATGGAAGCCCCTCAGCAAAGGGCAGAATGAGCGCTGCTGGGAGGGGCTGAACCCCAGCTGTACACACGTGGAGCCAGGGAGAAGGGGGCAGGAGGATGTCCTGGGGCCACACGGGAACAGTATGGCAGGTCAGCAGCTGGCCTCTGCACCAACACAGCCCGAGACCAGGCTCACGTCAGCAGCTGTGATGAGACCTGCAGCCGTGACGGGTGTGAGATTGGAGGGCAGAGCAGTAGTACCGTCTCAGCGTCCGCTGGTCTCCCCTTGCCCGATGACGTTGGCGAAAACATCCACAGACCCTGATGCGGACACCGGGAATTCAGGGGAGACCAGAGGGCGGGAGGAACAGGAAGCCAGTGGAACTTGCCGAAGCTCAGCCGTCTTGGGGAGATGGGGCAGTGGGGGTCCCAGTGCCCGTGCTCCCCAGGGAGCCACTCTGCTGTTCCCATACAATTACATTTCAACACAACAAAGAAAAACACTGCTCAGAATAGGGGGAAAATAGAACTTTATTTTTACCGTAGGAATTAGACTCTGTCACAGAATAAGGACACCACGGGACTCTCTCGGTTCATTTAATACAAATGAATAAAGATATTCTGCAGAGGGACCACCTCTGCTCCGTCTGTGGACTCACTGCCCTGTGGCCACCTCGTCCCGCAGTGCCCACCCTTCACACCCAGCCCACAGCCGCTTTCTCCTCTCCATGAAGGCGCTGCAGCCCCACACCAGCCTGTGAATACCAGTAGGCGCAACAGCTCCATTCCCACCCCTTTCCCAGGACGTCCTCGGACTGAACTTCAACTTGTAAATGATCCCTCTCTGAGAAGAAGGACTCGGGTTCCCACAGAAGCCTCTTAGCCAGAACTGCTGAACACCAAGCATCAGTGAGCTCTCAGGAAGCAGACCCCCGCCCACGGCACGTCAAGCAGGGCAAAGAACAGCACATCAAGTGTCCTGTACGTCTTGTAGATTGTCCCTTATTTCAAAAATAAAACTCCTCTATGTAAATTGAACCTGTTTGCAACAGGCCAAATGTGTGATTCTGCACGCAACAGATCTGTTATTGCTTGAAACGTAACCCCCAGGGCTGAGCTGCCCACACCGGGGCATGCAGACCATCTTGAAATCACGAACCACAGCTAAGCGCCCGCCCACAACAGGGACCCAGGACCCGCACCACACTTCCCAGGCGCCGATCAGGTCCAGGTAAGGCACGCTCTGTGCTCTGTGCTGAGGGGAGCCCTTCCCTTCCTTCCCCTCCCCAAGCTGCAAAGAATGGTTTTGTCCCAACAGTCATAGATGCTGCCACAGCCACTGTGTACACATGCTCAGAACCTCCTAGCCTTCAGACTGGAAAAAGAACCTCCTGCATACCCAAAAGGTGCCTGGACCACAGTCTTGGCTTCCCATGCTCGCACTCCAGGAAATGCACTAGTACTCAAGACTCGAGGGTGAGCTGCAGTGAACACCAGCAGGGAAGATGCTGGTCCTTACAGACAGTACGACACTTTTCTATGCACCCCCTTTTCATTAATCCACATTTTTAAAAGTATTTATTTCCTGACAGTATTTCTAAATGTGACTATTTGTAACATACAACAAATGAAAAATATGACTAGACTGCAAGAAAAAAAACCTGCTTGTGAAACAAGGTACTGAAACAAAGTCGTGTGCTCCTTGCTGGGGACAAGGGGACCGAGAGGAGCCTGGAGACATCCAGCTGCAGCCCTCCACCTGTGCAACAAGGCCCCAGATCTTCAGGAGGAGCATCACTGGCTCTAGTCACGGAGCTGGCACGTGCCCTCACCACTCCCGCTCCCGCTCCAGGACGTGCTGGGTGCACAGGCGCGGCAGCTGGAGATGTAGCGGTGACAGCGCATCTGCTCCCCAAGCCCCTCGCAGGACGCCCCAACTGCGCCTGGCTGCCATCATCCTACAGAAGCCTGCATTTCAGAAGAGAAGCCCGCCTGGGGTGGGGAAGGTACAAAAAACACAGATGCTGTGGTTCTGCAAGCTCGCCTTTTTTGGTACCAGCACAGAGTGTCCCGGTCACTGAGTGTCCCAGAGGAAACCCCGCGAACTGCCTGGTGGTGCGTCTGCGCGCGGCTGTGCACGGGCACGGGAGGCTCAGAGCCCCAGCGACTTCTGCACAATCTGCTTGGCGACCTTGTAGAACTGCTCCCGGTCGTCCCGCCACATCTTGGAGGCGTCCACGTTGGCACCACTCTCGTCGTTGGGCTCTGAAAGAGGGAGAATCTCCAGGTGAAAAGGGCTCGGCCAGGAAGGGCCTGGCATGACCTCCCATATCCTGTAAGGGCATTGGGCATCTCCCCACGGAGGTGACCAGGGAGACCAGAAGCTGTGGGAGGCTGTCAGTTCTCTGGGGAGAAGAGCCCCTCCTGAGGAGCCAGGCTGAAAAGTGGTGCAAGCCGCCCTTGGGCTCCTCCACCCAAAGCAACAGCTTCACTCTGTAACACCAGCTGACAGGCTGAGCAGCCGCAGGGCTAAGCCTCTCCATTCCATGGAAGCACTCCCCCCACAACCAGGGTTTCAGGTCATTCCTCCCTCAGCTCCTCTGAGCCCCCCGTGTCCCGCCTACAGGATTCCCTCCAAGCTGCGTCCCCTCCAGCCTCCTCCAGAGACAGCCCTGCACCTCACCTCCATGGCCAGGCCTTGGAGAGCCCCCATCAAGGGTGGACACTCACACCCAAACTCTGTTCGTCCCCAAATCCTGCTCCCTCTGGATTCCCGTCCCAAAGAGAGCCACCCTCCACCCGCAGTCAGTGCAGGAGCAGGAGCCCCTCACACCAGGCCCTGAGCCTCGGGGTCTTCCCAGCCTCGCCTTCCTCTTGGCTGGGACCCTCCCCACCTGCTTCAAGCGCATGGGCTGCAAGGACGACTCCTCTTGGGGCACTGCCGTATGGTCTAGCAGCCCCATGAGTGTCAGGCTCCGGGAGAGCACTTGTCCACAGGGCATCCCCCACCTGCTGGGCTGCAGCCACACCCAGTCCTGGCAGTGCGACCATGAGGCTCAGCGGCTCACCCCCAGTGCCCCACCCCCCGTCACCTTGTTAACTCCTCTGTGTTCTAAGCTCACCTCAGGGAGTGGCCCAAGCGCCCCTGCGTCCTCACCTCAGATTGACTGCTGTGGTTGCACCACTGGTGGGTGTGAAAGTTCCCTAGATTGTGGGGCCTTGAGGCTGGGGTCAGTGTCTCCTGAGCTTTACACCCAGGACACAGTGTTTGTAATACAGAGGACTCCCAGGTCAGAGCACAGCTAACCAGGGCCCATGACACAGCAGACAAACACAGGATCATCTTTACATCCACAGTTATGAAAAGTAAGCTTATGCTTGGAGAAGAGTATGCGATTAACACTAAATAAAAAAGCAGAGAAGAATATAAATCAACTACTCAGGGAGGAGGTTCATGACACTGTACAAGAGGCAGTGATCAAAACCATCCCCCAGAAGAAAGGCAAGAAGGAGCCCTTACAAATAGTTGGGAAAAGAAGATAAATGAAAGGCAAAGGAGAAAAGGAAAGATATACCCATCTGAATGCAGAGTTCCAAAGAGTAACAAGGAGAGAGAAGAAAGCCCTTCTACGTGAACAATGTAAAGTAGTAGAGGAAAACAACAGAATGGGAAAGACTAGAGATCTCTTCAAGAAAATCAGATCCCAAGGGAATATTTCATGCAAAGATGGGCACAATAAAGGACAGAAATGGTATGGACCTAACAGAAGCAGAAGATATAAGAAGAGGTGGCAAGAATACACAGAAGAACTGTACAAAAAAGATCTTCATGACCCAGATAATCACGATGGTATGATCCCTCACCTAAAGCCAGACATCTTGGAGTGTGAAGTCAAGTGGACCTTAGGAAGCATCACTATAAACAAAGCTAGTGGAGGTGATGAAATTCCAGCTGAGCTATTTCAAATCTTACTGTTGCACTCAGTATGTCTGCAAATACGGAAAACTCAGCAGTGGCCCCGGGACTGGAAAAGATCAGTTTTCATTCCAATCCCAAAGAAGGACAAAGCCAAAGAATGTTCAAACTACCACACAACTGCCCTCATTTCACATGCTAACAAAGTAATGCTCAAAATTCTCCAAGCCAGGCTTCAACAGTACATGAACCAAGAACTTCCAGATGTTCACGCTGGATTTACAAATGGCAGATGAACCAGAGATCAAATTGCCAACATCCACAGGATCATAGAAAAAGCAAGAGAATTCTAGAAAAACTTCACTGATTATGCTAAAGCCTTTGATTGTATGGATCACAACAAACAGGAAAATTCTTGAAGAGATGGGAATACCAGGCCACCTTACCTGCCTCCTGAGAAACCTATATGCAGGTCAAGAAGCAACAGTTAGAACCAGACATGGAACAATGGACTGGTTCCAAACTGGGAAAGGAGTACGTCAAGGCTGTATATTGTCACCCTGCTTATTTAACTTATATGCAGAATTCATCATGCAAAATGCCAGGCTGGATGAAGCACAAGCTGGAATCAAGATTGCTGGGAGAAATATCAACAACCTCAGATATGCAGATGACACCACCCTTATGGCAGAAAGTGAAGAAAAACTAAAGAGCCTCTTGATGAAAGTGTAAGAGGAGAATGAGAAAGCTGACTTAAAATTCAACATTCAAAAAACTAAGATCATGGCATCCGGTCCCAATACTTCATGGCAAATAGATGGGGAAGAATTGGAAACAGTGACAGACTTTATTTTCTTGGGCTCCAAAATCACTGCAGATGGGGACTGCATCCACGAAACTAAGACACTTGCTTCTTGGATTAAAAGCTGTGAAAAACCTACATAGTGTATTAAAAAGTAGAGACATTACTTTACCAACAAAGGTCCATATAGTCAAAGCTATGGTTTTTCCAGTAATCATGTATGGATATGAGAGTTGGACCATAAAGAAGGCTGAATGCTGAAGAATTGATGCTTTTGAGCTGTGATATTGGAGAAGACTCTTGAGTGTCCCCTGGACTGCAAGGAGATCCAATCAGTCAATCCTAAAGGAAATCAATCCTGAATATTCATTAGAAGGATTAATGAAGCCACCTGACACGAAGAGATGACACATTAGAAAAGACCCTGATGCTGGGAAAGATTGAGAACAGGAGAAGGGGACGACAGAGGATGAGATGGTCGGATGGCGTCATAGACTCAATGGACATGAGTCTGAGCAAGCTCCGGGAGCTGGTGATGGACAGGGCAGCCTGGTGTGCTGCAGTCCATGGGGTTGGAAAGAGTCGGACACGACTGGGAGACTGAACACCACCACTCAGGGAGGACCAATGAGCTGCAAGACAAGGGTTAGTGAAGAAAGAGCAGCAGGCCCCAGCGTCGGTCTCTTCTCTGGGCCAGAACTGCTATTGTCTTGGAGCGGCGGGGCGGCGTTACCTGCCAGCATGCTCACCACCGACAGAAGGATCTTCTCCACGCTCTGCACGGGGCTCCAGCGCTCAGCGCTGCTCTCGTAGCCCATGGGGTCATCGCCAGGAGCGTGCAGGATGGAAATGCAGACTCTGCCGTCTGGGTAGACTGTGGGGCAGGACACACACGGTGAGCCGAGGAAACACTGGTGACAGGGCACCCGGTCGGACCATGCTGAAGAGGCACGAGCAGTGGGCACTGATGGGGGCAGTCTGCACGACGACACAACCATGGCCTGGGCGCCACACTAACATCCACACACCACCCACAGGCCCAACGGGCTCCCAGGGCACCGCTCGATCACGGACAGGGTGCTGGGCTGGTCTGCAGAGCCCTAGTCCCCATGGGGTGGCTCCATTTTCATGTGGATTTTATAGGTATTATATCCAAGGGAATAAATGAAAGGCCATCTGGTTGTCAGATATTCTACCCATGTGTCTCACGTAGTTAGGATCTTCACAACATTCTCATAACGAGCTTCTCAAATACTCCTCATTCTGCCATTAAACCCCTGAACTGGACTGTGTAAAACACAGGTCCCTGTGACTAGGAAAAAGGCTAAGGGAATTACTTAACTATCCAGAAAAAGACAGGTACTGAGATTTCTCCTGGTAACAGGAGAAATGTTATTCTAACAGAAAAATGACCACCTGAATTCTCTGGAAATCAGCTGTGCTTGAATGGAAATCCATCTTCCATCAACAGCACCACCAACTAGACCCTTGAGACAGACCTGCCATTTTCCTTTCACAACTCTCAGATGAATCGGTACATGCTAAGATACCCAGGGATCACGTGTCAACCTGTAAGGCTATTAAGTGATAACAGTAACAGGCAGTTTTAAATAAACTGGCTGACTTCACCCCTACCATTCTCATGACCCTCTAGCAGAGGGAGAGGCTCTACCCAGCCTTTCTTCCACACCTCACCCCTGCACCCCAACATTCAGTTCCAGCAGCTGCTGCACTCTCACTGAAGGGTTAGAAGACCATGTGCCTTCTGTCCTGAACACTGGGATGTCCGCCTGAGGTCCACACACACGGGACCCAGGCACCCAGGACACTCTGAACAGCTCTCCCTGCCACGGACAGAGAGGATATGTCCAGTTTTCAACTTGAGCGTCACTTCCTCAGAGTGGTAGTACCATGCGATGGCACTGCTGCCTCTAGGAAGATCAGAAAGCATCTGTGTCCCTGCCCCCACCCCACTGCAGCCACCAGTGTGACCTCCTGAAACCCACCCCACCCCCAGGGCTTCATCACCAGCGCCCACACCTGGTGCCAGGCTGGCAGTCTCTCCTCCAGCCACAGCAAAGCCCCAGCCTGTGCACGCATTCTTCCCTCTGTACTGCACACCGTGGCCCTTCCAAGACCACGCTGGTCATGCCGGCCTCTACCCCCTCACACCCTCTACCAGCCCCTCAGCGGACCTCCACTGCTCCTCAGAATCCTTAACGTTGACTAAGAGGCCTGCCCTGGTTTGCCCCCCAACATCCAACACGGGGCCTCTGCATAGGCCAGATCCCCTCCCTGCCCCACACAGACCCTGGCCACCCCTGCTGCTCGTCCCACGGGAGGGGGGCTCCACACCCAGCTTGCAGGTGCCCTCCTGGCCCCCATGGGGTTTCTCACCTGAACAGTCCCGTAATCAGCGCCCATCCTGCCCTCAGATGGGAGCTCCTGGCGTCAAGCCCCCACCTCTGATAATCTGCTCACTGCTGCACCCCAGCAACCCACAGTAAATTTGCTGGGTTACCTTCTGTAAGTATTTATGACTGACCAACTTTCATGATACTGTCAAACAGTTCTCTCAAAAATAACAAAATAAAAGTGACACACATACTCACTCGCAGTAAGGATAAATTTTAAAACTGTTTGTACTGATTATCTGAACATCAAATATAATATCATCAGACTATTAGCACCCACATAACTCAACAACTTTATTGGCCATATTTGTCTTTAAACTACATCACAGGTGTCATTTTAAAGAATGTATTTATCTTCAATGTAATCTTATTTTTAGTTACGCACAATCGTCTTCACAGTTGCATTTTACTGTCAATCACCTTGAACTTGCTGACTTCTTCAATTGCCTCTACCAACCATAGTGAATGTCTAAACGCTATATTATGGGAAATTCCAAGCACACAGCAGAACCACCGCACACAACGCACGCCCACCTGCACCCATCTCGAGGGGTCCCTGGAGCCAGTACACTACTTCAGAAGCACTTACTGTTGGGGTGAAACATCTCGCAGGTAAATCTCATCTTTGGGGGACTTAATGGGTAATCAAGTGGGAAACTCAGGATGGCAGGAAACACCCCAAACTCAAAACAGGTGTCTTCTGGGCCCCTGGAAGATATAAAAAGAGAAACAGAGCTTCCAGATAGATTTTCTTCAATGTCTATCACATTTTAGACATAAGTACAGGACACTTCTACTGCTTTACAAATAAATGCACGGGAAAAGATTATCTAAATAACACGATGAATTGGCTCTCGGTGCAAAGCACTGTGTCACCGTCCCCTTCCAATCTGGTTTAAACCATGAAGGGCGGTCCAGGCAGAGTTTCACATTAACAAGGTTGAGAGTGAGGCTGCAGCACCTGCCAGAGGAGTGGAATCAGAAGAAAGCTGGAGCCGGCAGTGCAGGCGCCCAGGATCCTGTCTGTCTGTGCAGTACAACTACATGCTACGATAAAGACACACACCAAGGAACATGTTGCAGCAAGGCTCCACTGTACTGAAGGAACAAGTGGTCACCAGCTGTTATCTCAAAGGCTAGCTGCAGCTTCTGAAAGTGCCTGAGAAGGGACTGTGACCTCCAAGGAGCAGCCCCAGAGCACACGGGGATGGCTGACCAACGAGGCTCAAGTGCTCGTGTGCGAGCCGCAAGTGCTGACCTGCAGGCCTGGGCTCGCACCACATCCTGGGCTGACAGTCACCTGAGTCCTCACTGTCACCAGGCACATGCCTGCCTGCCTGGGTTCACGTCCTCCTCATGTGGAAAGTGGCAGAAACGGGCCAAACCACTTTCAAAGTCCCGTCAACTTTTAAAAACACTATTCTGAACAACAGACAAGATGGAAGGTCAGCAGAGAGAGAGAAGAACGCACAGTGTGACACGGAGGAACCTTATCCCTTCACAGATACAAACGTCTCATAAAACAGGCCCGACACTTAGGCCAGCTTTCCTAAGCAAACGTTCATAAGGAGGCAGAACTGACGAATAACAGCTACAGAACTGACACAGGGCAACACAGTGGGAAGAGCAGTCAGTCCAACAAGGAAGAGGAACCCTGTTCTCTTCCAGGAGCGGAGAGGGCCTGAGGCCAGTGTAACACGCGAGCCCTGCAGACGGCAAGGGGACAGGGCACCTGCGCCACAGCAGAAGTCCCCTCTGCAGAGACACTTGACTTCTGCCTGGTGAAGACGCCCAGCGCAGGCAGCAGAGCTGGCACTGCGTCACTGCTGGGGGGGCAGGTGGAAAATGGTCAAGATGAGATCAAGGCAACAAGTGTTTGGTGGAGCCATTTTTTCTCAATGGAAGACACACACGAGGACTCTGAAAACTGTGTCCCTGCTACTCTGGGGGAGACCAGAGGGAAAAGCTGGTCAGTGTGGAGCATGAATGTCCAAGAGAGCGGTGTCAGAGTCTGGGACAGGACGGCCACACAGGGGGAGAGTGTGGGGGGCTCCCCGACAGCTGCCCCAAGCCTTCCCCTCCAAAGGGGTCTGCATCCAGCCCCCTTCTCCAGTTGAGAACTCACAGCAGAGGATGAACACCACTGCAGGGCTCCCCACGCATCCTCCCAGGGGAGGTGCCAAGAAGGAGGGCTGTGGCCTCGGCCAGGGTCCCCCCACCTCGGGCCGGGGCCCAGATCGGGTGGCTGAGGGGGCGCGGTGCAGAGCACAGCCTAGGCAGCTGACCCAGGAGCCTGCAGACCAGACCACAGGCATGCCAGGAAGGCTCGCAGCGCCTCACTGTCCCTGGCAGCTCCGAGCCAGAAAAGAAAAGAATGTCTAGGTAGGTCGTGTTTTTGGACTGAGCCAACTGGTATTTGCTCAAGACTTTGATAACAGGTCTTTGTTTCTCATAACAGGGCTTTCTTTAAAATAAAACAAAACCCACTGCACCGTCCACAGCTTCAGAAGCAAGATCAAACATTTCCTAAAATGCTCCTACATCTGAAATATCAAAGCTTCTTTCAAATGTTCTGGTTTGCTACTGGTTGAAATGGGGGGCTTCATCTCTTCCAGGACACCCGGCGCCTTGGCCCGGCACACAGGTGTGCCCACGTGCACAGTGGCATGCCTGCTGACTTCACGGAAAATGCTATCGAGTAAATTCCTGAACTAAGATGGGAGACATAATTAGTGTTGTTTTTGGACAGCTTTCTTGCCACACTCTAGGGTAGCCTCGCTCCTCCTCCACTAAAGAGGGCCTCATCTCAAAACCAAATTTATCTGAGGCAAACACAAATTCTTCAAAGCCTAGAGTTATTTTCTACTGTAATTGATTAAAATGATGGCCTCAATTACTGCAGAGCTCTGAGAGACATATTTTATTTCCTTTCTGAGACCAGCATTCAGAGCAGAGCAGAATGGCCTTGGTCTCCTCCCTAAAGGCAGCAGTTCATTCTGCTCTCCTGGCTATAGGGGAGCGAGAGGCTGGGGCCAGCACCGTGAGCGCAGCAGCTACGTCCCTGCCCAACCGGGCCCAGCAAGGCTTGGTCCTCTTGTAGGACAGTGGCTGCGGTCACTTGTGGAGCCAATAAACACTGGAGACACCCAGGGTTAATCTTCCATCTCACCCTCAAGTGAAGAACTGTGCTTTGCTTCTCATCTCTAAAACTGTAATACAAGAGATAACACAAGAAGCCCACGGCTGCATTCCGAAGGCAACGGGGAGGCCAGGGCGCTCCACCGTGGAACCTGGGTGTGTCTGGGCTCAGTGAGCCATCTGCCCGCCAGGCATGTTCCAGGACCGCAGCCTGCCCACCACGCCAGCTGCGGCAGGTGTGAAGAAGCTGGTTTTATGCTGTTCTCTTTTTCAAGTTTGTCACAGCACACAGACACGATGTCCCAAATGTACATGCAAGGCTTGAAGTAATGGAGAGACTGTAAACCCATTCACTAGCACACCCTTGAACTGGATCACCCAGGAACAATTACTCTCCAAAAGTCTGGACCATAAAAAGCATAAAAAAGCATATCAAAGCATAAAAAAGGGCACACGGCTTCACTGACACCCTCAGTCAGGGGGGCACACCGCCCTTGCTCACACACTGCAGAACCATGCGGAGCACCCAGCTGGCGGGCGGGCAGGCAGCTGCAAGGGGTGCCTGGCATCAGAGCAGGGGCACTACCTCCTTCCTGCACCCTTGACCCTGCTCTCAGTCAAAGCTTCATGCCAAAGCTCCTGCCTCCCCTGCCCACATGGGCTGCATGCACAGCCCCCAGGAACCAGGTCTCCAGCTCTGGGGTGCCCTGCTGTGCCTCAAGGCCCCCAAGTCACTGAAGGAGCGCTTGCTGCATGGGGGCCCCCCTGGCCAGCAACGGGGCCGCAGGAGCTGCCAGGAAGTCCTGCGGACAGGACTCACATCTGCGGGACAGACAGCCCAGGCCACAGAGAGCTGTCGTCCCGGGGGCCAGTGGGAACCTGGCGGTCTTAGCTGGACCGAGTGTCTACAACCAAATGGGACCAGGCCTCCTCAGCACTGTCTCTGGGATGGACCCAGACAGCCGTGTGCCTCTGTTGTTGTGTTCTCAGCATCCCAGGGATCCTGACGTAGAGAACCAGGGCTGGTCACTCTGAGGAAGAAAAGCACCGGGCTTCCATTTCAGGAGAGCACGGCAGTAACAAATACAGTTTCCTTCCATGTAATTATTTTCATGATTAACTCTCTCCAAAAGCAGCCTATAGTTATCCCCTAATTTTTGCCTGTAATAGAAATTTCTGAGAACTTTATATCAAATATATTTGAACTATATGTAAAGCTCACAAAACAAGTCCATCAATTACAAGAATGTCATAGTGAATGCTGACAAGGACAATAGCATCGACAACATAAACTCTGACTCTAGAGCAAACAGCTATGTTAGAAAACACAAACACAGCAGCATATAGAATAAATGCAGATGTCTGCTCCCCTCCCTGACCCAGCTCAGAGGCAGCCACTGCAGGATCTAGTTACCCGCCAGGCTTCCTTCCACACGCATCCACTCACACCTTCACCCACAAAACGGGGTCATTTTTCGTTAACAAGTATCATGGCACCACTGAGAGGAATTGTTAAAGACCTGATTAAGTGGAGAGACATTTCACGCGCACGGATGGAGCACTCAAGATGGTTAACAGTCAACATGCCTCCAACTGATCTAAAGACTGAGCAAAATCCCGATCAAATCCCAACGGCTTCTTCACAGAAGCTGACAAGCTGATCCCCAGATTCCAGTGGAAACACAAGGGGCCCAGAACAGATAAAACACCTTGAAAAAGGAGAACAGAACACTCCCCAAGTTTCAAACATACTATCAAATTGCAGTGATGGAGAATGTGCACTCACGGAGGGTTAGACATGGGTCAACAGGACAGAATTCAGAACCTTCACACCAAGGGTCAACTCATCCTGACAAAGGTCCAAAGTGGTTCAATACAGGAAACACTTTCTTTTCAACAAATGGTGCAAGACAAATGGACAGCCACATGCAAAAGAATGAAGCTGCCCCTACCCAATGCTATACCCCCAAATTATCCAAAACAGGCCCCAAATCTAAATTTAATAGCTTTAAATATAAAGCTTCTAAAGGAAAACATAAGAGAAAATCTTTGTTACGTTGGGTTACATGACACCAAAAGCATAATCTATACACGGAAAAACTGCTCTGCTAAACTGCACTTTATCAGCAATAAAAACCTTTGAGCTTCAAAAGACTCTCTTAAGAAACTGAAAAGAAGGGACTTCCCTGGTGGTCCAGTGGTTAAGACTCCCAATGCAGGGGGCACAGGTTTGACCCTTGGTTGGGGAACTAAGATCCCAAATCCCATATTCCACACAGCATGGCCTAAAAAATTTAAAAATGGAAAAAAATATGCAGACTGGGAGAAAATATCTGAAAATCATACATCTGATAAAGGATTTGCATCCAAAATATATAAAGAATTCTTAGGACTAAATAAAAGACAACCCAATTAAAACTGGGCAAAAGTTTCTAAGTTCACCAAGAAAGATATCTGAATGGCTCTTTAGCCCAGGCAAAGATACTCAGCAGCATGGGTCACCAGGGCAATGCAGACCAAACCCACACGGAGACCCACCTCACACCCACCAGGACAGCTGGCGTCAGAAGACACAGAGAGGGTGAGGAAGTGAAGAAGTGAACGCTCAGCACTCAGGTGGGAACGTGAAATGATGGCTCCGCAAGTCTACTCCTGGGCATTCAGCCCAGGGGATGGGACACCTGTCTGCACGCTTAGACCCAAAGTTCACAGCTGCATCGTCACAACGGCCGAAGAGGGAAGCAGTCAAACAGCTGCCGGCGGGTGAGCAGATCCCTGCGCAGTGGACAGAGCTCACAGCGCCAGGCAGGAGCCGCTGCCCCAGGCTACACGGAGGAACCTTAAAGCCACCACACCCAGAAAGGGGGCCAGAAGCCCTATCCTGTGACTCCACTTGTGGAAAAGTCCAGAAAAGGCCAGCCAACAGTCAGAGAGGAGATCGGAGGGTGCCGGCAGCTGAGGGTGGGAGTGGGGACTGAGTGCACACGGGCATGAGCACCTTTCTGGAAATGCTCTAAAAATGACTGCAAAACTCTCCTTATTTAATGTACTAAAAAGTTACCGATTTGGCACACTCGATCCAGGTAAAACTTTGCATGTAGATCCTTTCTCAATAAAGCTGCTCAATGTACCCGACCACACCAGAGTCTCTCAACTTCAACACCACTGCCACCTCGGGCATCCTGGGCACTGTGGGGCACTCAGCACTCTCCCACCCAGGACAGGACAAGAGCTTCCCCTGACACCCGGGGTTGTCAGCCACGGTGTCTCCAGACATGGCCCAACATCCCACAGGAGAGGCCGTATTCAGGGACAACACTGGTCTAGGCCTGCATTCCAACATCTGCCAGAACCATGGCTATGCTGTCGGCATCCTGTGGACCAGACGTCCGTAACTTGGGCTGGACAATGACGTTTCCACTTTTTTTTTAATGACTGCAGTGAATGTTGTAATGAACGTCCTCACACACAGGTCTTCGTAACACCTCTTTTTTTTTTTCAGGTTTTGTTTTTGGCTCCGCTGGGTCTTCGACACCGTGTGGGCTTTCTCCAGCTGCGGAGAGGGGGGCTATTCTCTAGTTGTAGTGCAGGAGCTTTCTGTCGGAGTGGCTTCTCTTGTTGAGGAGCATGGGCGCTAGGCCTGTGGGCTTCAGTAGTTGTGGCTCGAGGGCCCTACAGCACGTGGGCTCCGAGAGGTGTGGTGCAAGGGCTTAGCCGTCCCGCAGCCTATGGGATCCTTCCGGATCAGGGATGGAACCCATGTCCCCTACACTGGCAGGCAGGTTCTCATCCACTGGACCACCAGTAAGTCCTGTGTAACACTTCTGATGAAGGACCCCCAGGCGGCGAATTGCTGGGCCAGAGGACATGCAGTACAAATCATTCACATGTGTAACAACAGGTTCAGCAGGTTCATCTGAGCAGCCACAACACTAACGGGAGCCAGCTTCTGTACTCGTCACGAAAGCCTGGTACAGACGCAACACCAGTGCCAGTGGCCATGGCACTCAGCATGGGCCAAGCACAGCCTAGGAAGGGCCTCGGTCCAGGAACCCTAGCTGCGACCTAGGAGGGGCCTCGATCGGGGAGCCCTAGCCACGGCGGGTGTGAACCAGCTGGGACCCAAGTGTGCCGGCAGACACGTGGGTGGAGTCAGCCAAGGGCCCAGCCATTCAGGAAGGGGGGTGGGCCTGCTCCTTTCACCACAGCCTCAGGGCTCTGACCTGGAGGTGGGACAGCAGCCCGACCACAGCAGCTGCTTTAAGAAGCCTGAGGTAGGACAGAAACCAGGCAGCGAGACTCCAAGGACTTCACGCCTTGTCCTGACATGAAGGATAAACTACCACCCTGCATGGCAGGGCTCCTCCTGTTCTGCAAAAGTGCGTGTCCACCCCCACCCCCCCACCACTGCCACACCGCGGCCAGGGCCAGTGAGGTTGCACAGGCCAGAGACCCTGGAGCTGGACAAGGTGGACGTGAAGCCATTTGTCAACCAAGGTTCTGCTCCAGAGAGGCAGAGTGACTGCCCGAGACCATGAAGCCACACCAGACACACACAGCCCAGGGACCCACAGCCCTCAGCAGGACTGACTGGAAGCCCCAGTCCTTTCCCCCTGGGCCACGGGCTCAAACTCTACCTTAAGCCAGGCCGAGAGTCACTGGAGTTCCTGTCTCCTTTAGTCAAAGAACAGGCTGTGGTGACTTTATTACTATTCCTTAATTTGCTGGGTTTCTCATCCTAGGCCCTTAACCTTGCTTTTTCAGGGCAGAGCTGTGGGGCTACCAAGGACACGTTTGTATCCTCAGATGAGGCCCTCAAATGACTGGCTCTCGTATTTGCTGCTGGGACATCTGAACAGACGTTTTCCTCACTGCACAGCTGAGGCCTCGTAGGTAAGCACTACAGCAAAGCCCAACAGCACCGGGCTCCCAGAAACAGGCACGGTGCTTTTCAGAAGCACGAGGGGATGGAGGGAACTCTGGAAACAATCAAAGAATAAAGAGAGGGAAGAGAAAACCCATCACCAAGGAGCAAAACTCAGTCAGCCGTCTGCCAGAACAGCGGAGTGAGACAAATCAATGGGAGGACAGTTAATTCCTTAATAGATGTTTTCAGCACATTTGTAAACGGCCTCTTGTTTGTGGAAGGATCTGGAACGGGACCAAAACCCACAATCTCAGCAGATCCCGAGGCCGGGGAATTCCACACTAACGCAAAAGCCTATTCAAACACAAAAGTGCTCTACCAAAAGGACTTCTAATCACTTTTTTTTTCTAATCACTTTTTAAGATAAGTTTTCAAAATATTGGTTTAATTTTATACTATTTACTTATAATTAGTAATGTTTACTCTAACCGATTCTTAACAGTAAACCCTTTAAAGCACACGCACTGGAAGGCTCGAGTGTCCCGGAGGGCTTCCTGTGTCCTGTTACGTGCGCCTCAGCCACAGCCTGGGAAGGCTGAAGGGCCGTCAGGGGCTCGCGGACCCCTCTGCACCCAGACGGGCTGCCCTGGGCAGCTCAGTGCATTACACAGAAAGCATGCATGTGGCCTGACAGATGGAAAGGACGTATGACAGCCCAAGTTCACGGGATTCAATCTCCTGTTTCCCCAAAGGTAAAAAGCAGCTGACCCGAGTGCATCAAACCCAGACAAGCTGACCAGGAGACACACCCTCCAGTTTGGACCTGCTTCAGGGGGTGAAAGACAGTACCTATTAGATACAAACACAGACTGTGAAGTCATCCCCCTGCCAAAAGCGCTTCAACACAGGAAAGAAATGGGCATCACAGGCCCAAGCCACTGGCTATAACAAATGATGAGGCAATGCTAGGTGTGACATATTTTCTTTGGATAGTGTTTACTGATGATTTTTAGAACAATTTGCTTATCAAAAAACCTCACTTTCACACCAATTTTCATGTATTAATCTAAGCTCCACAGACAACATTCAGCAGCAGTTTGTCTCTCAGACTAAACCTGATCTATGAGCACTGAGCAAATGCAGAGCATCTGCTGATGCTAACAGTAGACTTCAAACCCAAGTGCACACCTGCTCCAGCAAACCTCACACACCTCCCAGGCCTGCCCCACTAGAGCATGCCTCAACCCAACAAAACCCCACCTGAAGAAAACTTTCTAGCGAACTGAAAGGTCTCATTTTACTAATAAGAACACTGAAACTGATTATAATTTCAACTTCCTAAATTCTACCTAACCACATTTTGTTAAAAATACCACCTAAGAATGGTCAAGAATCATACACCTAAGGTTGAAAGAAAACAGGGGCCTGGGTCACAGGGCCAAAGAACACTCTGGAGTCAGAAGTCCACTGTTCTTTCCAAGCAGCGACACTTAACAGTGAAATATGATATTCAGGCAGGACCTTTCTAGAATGAAGTCAGGAACCACACCGCTCACCTTAGAACTAAGCCATGTCTCTAAGTCAGGGACAAGGGAAGGCCAGACAAGGTACGGAAAAGGAGCAGCAGCAGAGGACCTGAAGGACTAGGACGATGGGGAGAAGGGAAAGGGGAGAAGGGGACGGACGAGAAGGAGGGAGATGAACCCAGGCTGCACCCACAGACCTGGGGCCACACCCACATCCTGAGGAGCCCTCCCCGCCGCCAGGGCCCCAGGCTCACAGGGACTCTATGAAGCCTGAGCCCATTCTGTTTGAGGCCAACCCAAAGTCCAAACTTCATTATTCTGAAACTCTACAAATACAAATACTTAACTAAGCCTTTCACTGGCTTTAAGGAAATACTCATTCTGTTTGGATGAATGCTCCTGCTGTTTGTTTTTTTTTTCTTTTCAAACTTTTTATTTTATATTTGGGTATAACTGATTAACAATGCGATAGTTCCAAGTGGACAGCAAGGGGACTCAGTCATACATATACATGTATCCATTCTCTCCCAAACTCCCCTCCCGTCCAGGCCGCCACATATCACTGAGCAGAGTTCCAGTGCTACCCAGTAGGTCCCTGTTGGGCATCCATTTTAAACACAGCACTGTGTACACATCTATCCCAAACTCCCTAACTATCCCTTCCCCCATCCACCCCCCCAGGCAATCATAAATTTATTCTCTGAGTCTGTGCAACGGTTTCTGTTTTGTAAATTAGTTCAAGTGTTCATGCCGTTTTCTGCTTTAAGATCAGCAGACAGAGAAAAACTCAACAAAAGAGGTGCACTTGACCTTTCTCTCTCCACTGATGCCTCCAAGCAGTCACACTGCTGAACGTGATTCACAGTTCTAATTCCAGTAAAGGCTTAAAACCAAACAACACATATGATGAACTCACATAATCAATGCTTCCCATTCAAAAAAATTCTCTTCATTCATGGGGCCTGCAGGGAAAGAAGAAATTCCACAACTTTAATTCTGTAGGAAACTTTGGCAGTTAGGAGTAAATGATAAAGACTGAACTTCACAGAACCTTACCTGCCACAATTCCTTCTGGAGGATTCAGAGTTAATTCTGTAAGATAAAAGGTAAAGCCATTATGAAAAAGAATGCATATTACCTTGCATTTTAACAAAAAAACTGTAAAACATATATAAAGCTATACATACATGACATGGCATACATACTAGCAAATGGAAATTCTGCTTGTCCCAAGTGAATGCCGGCTGCACTGACACTTCAGATCAAGACTGTGTGAACAGTTCTTTCTGCCGGCAAAAAGGAAACTTTCAGAACTGCCAACACTTTCACTTTACAATGAAGAAACAAACAAAAGGTGTTGTTAACGTTCCAAAATACACCTGCTGGTTATTCTGACTAAAGCCCATAGATCAAACATGATATATTATATCCCAACTGAATGGGAATTCCTGTCATGTTGACAGTGGTCATGAAAATGATGCTGCTGCACTGAGGACCTGCAGTCTCCTGAGTCCTCTCTGGGAGAGGGCCCCGCAGGAACCCACCGTGCTCAGCACCTGCTCGTGTGGTGACCCGACCACGCTGCTCCTACTGAGCTCACTCTGAGTCAGTGAGCACGAAGCCCCAGGAAACCCTGGCGCCCTGCTGAACTCTGTGGGCCACTGAAGCCAGGGAAAGTCAGGGGTACAAGTGCACGGTGGACTTGAACCACAGGGAGGATGTGTGCTGCTGAGCTGGAAAATCCCGCCAGGGAAACAGGTTTCAGAAGGACGAAAATAGTCTAGTTCTGAAACATCAAGTTAAAGATGCTTACAAGTCATGTAAGTGCAGACTGTCAAGGGGGAAACTGGACCTGTGACTAGAGCCCTAAAGAGTAGTCCAGACCGGACACATAAATCAGGGGTCCTGAACACAGGATGGCGCCTGAAAACAGGAATGGAGTAAAATTAAATAAAATGTAAAATGTATGTTTCCACAGACTCGTTCCCGGCATAGAACATCATAACAGCCCCACGTAGGAAACAACCCAAATGTCTATCTATGGTAAATGAACAAGGTATGATCCATCTACACCACGGACACTGCTCAGCCAGACACGTATTCTTGCCTGGGAAATCCCATGGACAGAGGAGCCTGGTGGGCTATAGCCCATGGGGTTGCAAAGGAGTTAGACATGACTTAGCAACTGAACAACAGCAGCCATGACCCAGAAAGTCATCTCCAGGGTGTAAATGCAGGTATGTGTGCACATGGGCACCAAGAGACACACTGAAGAATTTTTTTTTTTAACTGATGATATCATGACTTCAAAGACTAGCTTCAGCATCTAGGTAGCAACCAGCACTCTTCTGTGCAGAGCAACTTGTAACAAATTATAACAACAACCACTATGAATCCACTTCCAGAAAAATATGAGGAAATAGCAGATGAGACGTCACCGGGTGTGACTAAGCAGTTCTAGACAGTAACACATAGCATGCTACCAAAAGGGACAGAGAATGGACTCTGATCAAGGATAGTAACTTAAGAGTAAGAAGACCTCTCTGGAATCATTCCTTCCAATGAATATCCAGGGTTGATTTCCTTTAGGATTGACTGGTTTGATCTCTGTGCTGTCTAATTGACTCTCAAGAGTCTTCTCTAGCATTACAACTTGAAAGCATCAATTCTTGGGTGCTCAGCCTTCTTTATGGTCCAACTCTCACATCTGTACGTGACTACTGGGAAAACCATAGCTCTGACTAGACGGACTTTTGCTGGCAAAGTGAAGTCTCTGCTTTTTAATATGCTGTCTAAGTTTCTCAAAGCTTTCCTTCCAAGGAGCAAGTGTCTTTTACTTTCATGGCTGCAGTCACTGTCCACAGTGATTTTGGAGCTCAAGAAAATAAAATCTGTCACTGCTTCAACTGATTAGTGTAGATGAATTACAGAGCTAAAGAGGGGTGGGGGATATAATGTCGGTAGGAAAGGGAGCGAGGTGCCTGGGCCTGGAGGAGGAACTTGCACCCAAAAGAGCTGGCCCTTTTTCTCCTGCATGGAGTTCCCCTGGGAACTCCCCCGAAACCCCCTCAATGACACCCTCCCTTCACGGAGGGGCAAGGTCTAAACTGCAGCTGGAGAACTGCTACCTGTGGCAGCCTGCCCACCCTCATCCTTGGTCAACAGCGGCATCTACTGGTCGGCAAAGAATTACAGCAACCGAGTGAAACGGAGGGACCATTCATTACTGGAATAAGAACCCACCTGCCAACGCAGGAGACTCAGGTTCAATCCCTGGGTTAGGAAGATCCCCTGGAGAAGGAAATGGCTACCCACTCCAATATTCTCCTGCCTGGGAAATCCCATGGACAGAGGGGCCTGGCAGGCTACAGTCCATGGGATTGCAAAGAGTTGGACACGACTTAGCGACTAAACAACCACCAATGCTGTTTACTTGTTCTGTTGTTTTATTTTTAAAACACATACACACAACCATATTGTTTCACGTTTAATGATAAAAACAACTTCAAAAAGAGAAACAAAATCTTAATATCAAAGAAATTTGCAATGCCCATTCTTTGCCACTGATTCCTTGAGAATGATAACTGGTTAATAAAAACATTGTTTTAAATAGTGGCTTAAAAAACAGATACCACACAAAATAAAATATAAACTTTGACCAGCAGTCCTATTTCTTGGAATTTATCCCCCGGACACAAGGGCAAAAATAAGAAAAGACATGTGGGTAAAGTTAGTTATTTCAAGGCTTTTTGTAATAGCAAACAAACAATCAAAAAAGTCGGCAACAACCCAAATGTCTATCAACAGAGGACCAGTCGTATTATGACGCCCCTACTGATGGGACACCTCTGTGTCCTCATACAGGATGAACTTCAGGATGCATTAAGTGGCACAAAATGGAGAAAAGTGCGTAACTGGGGTCTTTAAAAAAGAAATAAAATTAAATGAGGTCATGGGGGTGGGCCCTAATCCAATCTAACAGGTGTCCTTTTAAGGAGATTAGGGCACAGGCATGCACCGGGATGGACATGTGAGGTCAAGGGAGGAGACGGCTGTTTACATGCCTAGGAGAGAGGCTTCGGGGGGACCAGTGCTGCCACAACTGGATCTCTGATGTAAGGAAGTGATTTCTGTGGCTTAAGTTCCTCATCCTGTGGCACTTTGTTACAGCGGCCCAGGCAAACTAATACAGCACTCAAAAACTCAGACAGCCATTTGGAAATCATCTGCAAATAAATCTTGATCTTTATCCCATACCCCACACAAAACCTGGACATGAATCACAGACTGAAATATAAGAGGTAACAGTATAAAGAAATCACAGGAGAAAACCTTAGTGAGCTTATGTTAGGCAATGATTTTTTAAACATAACACAGAAAGCAAGAAATGGTTTAAAAGTCAATCAACTGGACGTCACTGAAAATTTTAAAACCTTTGCTCTTTCAAAGGCACTGTTGTGAAAACTACAAGGCGAGCCACAGGAGCTGTCATTCAAGGGACAGAGGGAAGCCAAGTGAAGGAGCAACAGAGTCCTGCCAAACATCCAGTGCACACAGCTCACAGCACCGCACAGTACACTTCAGATGCTAACAGGGCAACAGCACCTGCTTCTTACAAGTTTTAAAAAAACAAGCCACAGTCTAAGTGAAAATGTTTTCAAAATATCCAACAAAAGACCTGCACCAGCATTATATAAAGAACTCTTAGGATGTAATAAGGAAACAATAAACTCAATTAAAAACTGAGCAAAAGACTCAAGACATATTATCAATAAAGGTATAAGGATGGCATATAAAAACAGGAACTAAAACCATAATGAGATACCACTACACACCCAGCAGAATGACTAAAACTTTAAACCTGATCACACCAAGTGTCAGCAAGTCAGTGGGCCTCCTGATACCCTACTGGTGGGGAGGTAAAATGGTACAACTGCTTGGGAAAACAGTTGGCTGTTTCTTTAAAAATCAAACACACATCTCACATATCACCCAGGAATTTACTCAAAAGAAATGAAACCATATGTCCACAGAAAGACAGGGACCCAAATGGTCACAGCAGGTTTACCTGTAACAGCCAAGAAAACCAGAAACAACCCAAAGGTGCACTGACAGATGAGTGCAGTAACAAGCCGTGGTGGGTCTGCCCACACAGAGCAACATCCCCCTGCAAGGACAGGAAGCGACAACTGGCCAAGGCAACAACCTGGAGGAATCGCAACATGATTTCGCAGAGTGAAAGACCCCTGACAAAGAAAGTACAGACAACTAGAAGAGTGACAAAGGTGGACTGAAGGGGGATTAGTCATTGCCTGGGAGCTGGGGGTGCAGGAAAGATAGGGCCCAGAGGATTACAAAGAGGCAGGAGGAGGCTGGGGAGGTGGGACGGCTGCACGTACACCAAAGTCATCAATGAACACTTACGTACACCAGCTTACTGCAGGTCAATTTACCTCAATAAAACTGTTTACAAAGGGTGGCTAGGAAAATAGACATCACAAAGGTTGAAAGACAAAGCACAAACAGGGATAAAATACTTAACACAAAACCACTACTCAGCAGTGAAAATGGACACAGCTCTAATAAATGAATCTCAGAAACAGTGCTGAGCAAAACCTCAATTTGCAGAATACACACTGTGCAATCCTATCTCCACTAAGTAAAAAACCAGGCAAAAATGAGTAAAATGTGTAGGAGGATATTACAGGCTTCCCAGGTGGCACTAGTGTAAAGAATCCGACTGCCAATGCAGAAGACAGAAGAGATGCTGGTTCAATCCCTGGGTGGGGAAGATCCCCTGGAGGAGGAGATGGCAACCCACTCCAGTATTCTTGCCTGGAGAATCCCATGGACAGAGGAGCCTGGTGTGCTACTGTCCATTGGGTCATAAAGAGTCAGACACGTCTGAAGCGACTTGGCATGCACGCATGCAGGAGGATATTAAGTGATAAAACTATAAAGAAAAGAATAAGTCACACAAAATTCAGTGGTTGTCATTCCTGGTGGCGGTGGGAAGGAACCCACACCAGACTGCTCAGTTCCTGCTAACATTCTCCTTCTTAAGCTGGTGTCATTTTACTATATCATCTGAATGTACATCTTCTATATTGTTTAAAATATAACATCTTTCACAATAAAAGCTTTAAAAACCTAAAAAGAGTTAAAGACCGGGAAGGACGACAGTAATGGGAAGGCCAGGGTGTCTGGTGTTCAGAGACGGCATTTCCAGGGGAGCGGGGCAGGAAACAGCTGCCCACGGAGCTGAAGAGTCGTACTGGGCAGAGGGGTGGATGGGATCAGAGGCAAGAAGGGCTGGGGCACGCAGAGGCTAAGAGGTCAGAGACTAAGAGGGCTTCTGGGCAGAGTGACCCAATCTGACTTTCTCCTGTGCTGGGAACAGAGCCTGGGCCAGCGTGGACCCCCAGATAAAGGAGAAAGTCTGAAGGTGGATCAACAGACTACACGTGGACACAGAATAACATGAATCAGCAAAGACAATCGAAGGCTTACAGCCCAAACAACTGGAAGAACAAGGCTGCCACCAACTGAGACAGGGAAGGCTGGGGGCAGCAAGGAGCAGGAGCACAGGGACTCGGCCTACACCCCCCCGGTCTGGGGCTCCTGCTCCACCGGCCTGGCTTTAACAGCGCCCCCGAGAGTCCGTGAAGGGAACCGTATCTGGAAACGGGTGCTGTGCAGACGTAATTAGGATTAGGGTGGGTCCTAACCAATGACTGGCGTCTCATTAGAGGGAAGCCAGCCACAGGAAGCAATCCGTAGAGGTTGGGAAAGGCAAGGAAGGATCCTTTCTCGAGTCTTCAGAGGAACGAGGCCCGCCGACACTTTGCTGGGACTTCTAGCCTCCAGACTGTGACATAATAAATACCTTTTGTGTTAAGCCCACTTGATTGTGATGTGTTGCTACGGGAGCCCTAAGTCCATCTATGATACCCCTAGAAAATCCCAGATGCATGAAGATAAAACATCAAGAAAAGAAGTTGGTTTAAGACACTTTGGTTCTTTCCCTGCCTCACCTTTTTTCTGACTGTAAGAACCTGGGCAAATCATTTTGTCTGTTACTCAATTCCCTACAAAATACAGATTTTACAGAAAATCAGGAGCCAAACAGACTCACACCCAAGGTCCTACCACCTTAGAGTTTCTGTAGTTCTATGACTACTCAAGTAGAAGAGAGTGGGCCTAAACCCCATCCAAATCTATCTAATCCCTCGCGCACAAAAGCTGCCTCTGGGGGGATACCTTCCCAATAGATGCACCACCCTAAAATGTGGGAGGACAGCAAGCCGGGATGCTAAGGCACAAAAGATAAGAATCACTAAGTGGAATTTTGTCATGTTCCTGAGATACAGCATCAACAACAAAACCCCCCATAATACACTGTAGTCATTTTTTACAGCTGATGTGACAATGACCACAAACTCAGTGGTTGACAACAACACCCACTGATGACCTGACAATTTTTCTGTTAGTGGCTGGGCACCCACAGGCCAGCTGGCTCTCTGCTGACAGTCTCACAGGACTGAGACCCAAGTTCACTCAGGGACCCGGCAGGATCTCACTCCCAGCGGCTGCAGGACCAATGCTCCAGGGCCTCACCGCTGCCAGTGAGGGGTCGTCCTCAGGTTCGAGACCACTGTATTCCTCTGGTCCTGGCCCAGCCCTGTCAGGGGGGTCCTTCTCCTGCTCTGGGTCCCCAACCTCCCCTCCTGCCTCTTCATCTGTTTGGGGGCCTCGTGTGATGACTGGGTTCCACCCCGATAACCCAGGACACACTCCCCACCTTAACGTCAGCTCCTTAGTTACCAACATCTCCAAAGTCCCTCACAGCGGTGCCCAGGTCAGTGTCTGATGGGTAACGGGGGTCTTAGGGAGACACCTGTAGCACTCTGTCTGCTACACACACTCCAAAATGTTGTGTGCTTACACATTAAAACACACAAAATACATTTCTGTGATACAGCTTTGAAAATCAACTGCTATTTACATTTTATTACTACAAACTGACAATATGGTTGAAATAGTTAATGAGATTTTTGTAAGTACAGTAAACGGACAACATGAGAAAATACAAGCTCAGTGATGCAAAGAGTGGACTGAATCAGCCACTTAAATTCCCTGTGCAGGGGTTTTATAGTGTCTTCTACAAAAATAACACCTGCTGGCAGTCTAGAACCAGGGTCAAACACACAAACAGATACAGCAACACACACTAGGATGGCAGGAGCCAGCATGTGTCCCCAGACACCTGACCCCAGCCAGGTGTCCCATGAGGAGATAGAGGCAATGGCCCCCCACCCCCAATCTGTTCAGTGGGAACCCTATCTCCGCACTCCGCCCCCAGAAGTCTTTCCTAAATATACATCCTTACCTTAGAGAACACTGGAAGGTGAGCACTATCTAAACGTTTATTTTAATAAGCCTGCACTTGCAACACTGTGGTTCCCTCCAGCCAAACACCAATACTCCCAGTGCAGGGCCATCAAGACGGTTTAGGGTGTACGCATGTTTACCGGTTCGCTTTATGACATTCGTTACTGTAGTTTATCTTCAAGTTTCTTCTGAAAGTGTCCTCAGGATAAGGACAACTTCACAGCGCACACACTAGACAGCCAGCTGTCAGGCACCTGCCTAAGGTCCATCCTCAAAGATGGGGGTGGGGGAAGGTGAGGGCGAGGGCCAGGCCAAGGTCGGACAGCTAACCTGCAGGTCTGAACCGCAAGCAGGCTGCCACCGTGTCCCAGCAAACACAAGAGCACCCGTCCCCCACTTATCACCGAGACTCCAAGGGCGCCTCCGCGGTAGAAGGCAGAGGACGGTTCTCGTTTTCCCCTTTGCCTTCAGCAAACATCAGAAAATCCTGCGGGCACTAAGGAAGCTGTGTCAACACCACCCAGAAGAAAGGTAGGTGGCACCACTCAAAAACCCTTCGTTAAAGCGGAAACCCGAGTCTGACCTTTCACCTCCGGCCCATCACAATGTGCTCCCCACTACCTCCAGGATGCTTCCTGAACTTCTCAGGAGGCCGGCGAGACGCCCCTCCCCGACCCGCGGGCGTCCGCGAGGCTGGGGCAGCGGGCCCTTTGGTTACCGCAGAGCCGGTGTCTCCAGACCAGCGCCACGCCGGCCTCTCCCAGCCAGACTTCGCGGGAGGCCCCGGGCGGCCGCGCTAACCCGTCCCGAAGACGCACCGACGGAGTCCACGCCCCGCACCGGACGCAGGCAAGGTGCAGTCTCGAACTCACGTTTGTACTCGGCCATCAGCCTCTTGAGCGCCGTCCCCGCCATCGTCCAGGCAACAGCTGCGCCGTCAGCCTAGCCTCCTCAGCGCTCTTCCCTCCCGCCCGAGCCCAGGGCCACTTCCGGGTCGCCGTGAGGGTTACAGGAGCCCTTCCGGGGCATGGGGCGCGTGCGCGGTGTGCGGGGCAGCTCAGGTGTCCGGGCTCCGAGCCAGTTTGTGCGGTCAGCTCCGCCCCGGCGGGTCCAGGTTCCAATAGGCAAGTTAGCAGAAGATTTCGGAGCCCCGGGCTCCAGCAGAGTGTGTGTGAACCGCCTGTTCCGTCCTCGAGGCCTCCGTGGTTTCGGCGGCGGGGACGCGGACGGAGGGTGGAGACGCCGGGGAGGGCCGGTGGAAAAGGCGGCTTCTCGCGGGCCGAGTGAACGGGTGTCGTTCAGATTGTTTTGGGGGTGCACCTGGGACCGTGTTGCGGCTCCTGCACCCGCACAGTGCAGAGGCGGTGACTTTCAGACGCAACTACAGTTAAAGCGAGAACATCCACTCGGAGAGCGGTTGGTGCTCGGTGGCGACTCTCACACGGTTTTAGGTTTGAAAAAGTTAGATTGGCGATTGTGGCCGTTTTATGCTGTCAGTCTGGGTTCAGCTTGGCCTGGAGGGGAGCTTTGGAGACCGAGGAGGGAGCAGAGCAGCAGCCAGACCCAGGGTGGATGGGCTTCCCGCACAACCGCAGCCCACCGCCCCACGCCCCGTACGCCGGCCCCCTCGGTCTTCCCCTAGTCCTCTGCCTCCAGAAGCCAGCATCCACCCCCGCTGCTCTGACTTCTCCACTGACTAATGTGTATCAGGTCACTAGATGAGTCCTTTTTTTCATTAATATTCACGGTGGTTCTACAGCTGATTGGCTCATTGATCTATCTACTCCTCTTTGTGCTTCTTAGAACCCCATTCCTAAAAGAAAAGTTTTTATCTTCACAACACTTATTCCAACGTATTCTTGTGTAGAATTTGCTACATTATGCCCTGTGTAGTTTTCTAGTATAATATATATATAACTTTGATGCATGTTTGACAGGAGAGGCATCAACAAAAATTCAGCCTGACACTGTCTTCTCAAATGACCATGGTGATTTATATAAAAACACTGTACTTTTAAACAGTTCCAAAAAGTAATGGATTTGCACAAATACTCCTAAGGTTTCCATCTCCCATTCAAGTAGTTACCTTCTCTGTGATCCAGCTACACCCCATCCCCTCATGCAGGTCAGGGGTCAGAGGGCGATTAAAGAACAATTCTACTTGGAAAGGAACAGAAGTACAGATGATGAGAAGAACTATCATAAACATGAGGCTCAGACAACAGCACCCATTAGATGCTGGGGGTTTTCTGAACTGCATCCATGTCTGTCACTTGCTGTCTTTCTGAGGTCATTGTGTTGTAGCAGTGTGTGTTCACAGTTTGTACCAGGATTAGTTTCAAGTGACAAAAACCCAAAATATGAGGTGCTAACATAATGGAAGTCTCTCACCTCGCTGTGGCTGGTGGGACAGGCTCACCTTCAGGGATACTTACGCTCCCCTCTGCGCATCCTCGCTGAGATTCAAGTGAGACTAGGCATCCCGTGTTTGATTCGCTAAATCTGGCAATGCTCAGCTCAGGTCAGCTGGTCCTGGTGTCCCAAGGGTTCCGAGCACCTGGTGTGTGATACTACTGGTTTCTTTGAGAATTGAAGTTCTGAGGTATAAAAAGGGTCTGCTTTTTGCAGATTCTGTCCATGAAAGCTGTGTCATGGAGCAGCTGAGATTAACAGGTACGCTCCCACCTGTGCTGTGCAATGCAGCCAGGCCGGCACCACCCATGTGCCTGGGGCCAAGGGGTCCTGGGATGTGGGGTTTTGGCACTGAAACTGGGAAAGTGCCAGCTGGGACTCAGGGCACCCATAATACAACCAGTAAAGACGAGCCTGTCTGCTACTGAAGCATCAGTTTAACCCAGTGATTTTAGGAGCTGGTTTTACATAATATTTTAATATATCAGCAGATCTGTTATTCCAAATGCACCTCCAGGACACTGCCTGCTTGTCCATCAGATGCTGGGGTCAGGCTCAGACAACACTGCACTAGGGCTCCCCAGAAACTGCAGTGCTCCTGAGCTCAGGCACCCTGACATGTCACCCTCCCCACGAGTGCAGGGCGTGCCTTCCTGGGGCCTACACTCCCCCACACCTTCTCTGGGCCACGCCTCTGCCTGCTGCTGCCACCTAAGCAAGTCATGTGCTTGCTGCCCCTGAGCTTTCAGCCTGTGCCCACCTCACCAATCAACCTGATACAGTATCACAGTGCAACATGCAGAAGTTTCCCAAACAGTGTCAACTCACTTCCATTCAAAACAGATGAGGGAATAAGTTGTCAGCTGCACTGCACAAAGGAAAACAGTCTCACATTCAAACACCAAAAGTATCAAGAAGCCCAGAGTCATGGTAACCCTCCCCCCAGGAGCCCAGGAGAGGGAGGAGAGCTCTGCAGGGGAGGGGGCAGCCTTGGCAGGTGAGCCGGCCTTCAGATGGAAGTCGGAGTGGTCGTGCTGAAGGGTCACTGCAAATACCGAACGTGACACAATGTCCAGTCTCCAAACGCAGTATAGAATATGAGCTGAGAGACAGGATACCAAACTATATTTACTGTTGACAGTAGTAAAGAACAACAAATAATGTACAAATTGGGGAATAAACACAAGAGCCGCAGACACCCCGCCTGTGCCCGAACAGCAAGGTACAGGGGAAGTGTAGGCTTCTCCAGCGAGGTCTCAGGCGAGCAGGAGATGATGGTGGTTGTCCTGCCCAGGTGACCCGAACAGGCAGCCAGGGACCGTCAGACAGGAGTGAGTCCGCACGGAAGGGCAACAGGACAACCATCGGAGGTTAACCAAAACAGACCCCAAAATGCACAGAACTGAAATCACACGTAACGTGTAAGCTCCATACCAACTTGGGGAGCAGAGCACAGTCCTCGGGGAGAACCCGGAGGCATCTCTCACTTGTAGCCACACTTTGAAGCAGCTCTTTTACACAAAAACATAACAGCAAAATCAGCAATACTCTATCTTCCTTGTTTATCATACAGACCATTGTTACTCATCAGAAGCAAATACTGGAGGAAATCTGAGGCCCTGGCACCGTGACCACAGCACACGTGTGGGACTTACTTTCTTCTGTTAAGAAAAGGGGAAAAGCCCATTTTTGTTGTGTCCAAGCAGTGTCACCGGCAGTTGGTGGCCGTGGGTCTGGAGCCCCAGACCCCGCCCAGGGCCGTGTTACTGAAGAACTTACCTTTTAAAAAACATTCCAGTATTTTCCCTTCAACTTAACTATATTCTGGCAAAGCTTACATTTCTAATATTTAGCATTAAAAAAACCTGTGCCCGCAAGAAACAGTAAGTGAAAGTGTATCTCCCATACCAACCATGACCCAAAAACTCGCCCCACAGAAGCACTCCCAGAGCAGTGACAGTTCTCTCCATGACTGGAAGGAGGGGGGTCAACACCTGGAGTGAGAGCCCCGTCTAGACAGAAAGCAGGCATTCAGGCCACAAGCTTGGAGAAAATGTCATAGGAGGGAGAAAAAACGAAAAAGTAAAAACAAAGCCCAAGTCCCTCACCAGGCATTTTACCCAAACACAGGTACCAGGTGGTGGGCCGAGGGAGGCTGGGGACCATCACCACCGTGGCACTCAAGTGCATCAGAGCAAAGTCCTTCTGGGGAATGTCCTCGGTGTCCGAGCCTCCCTGCTGATGGGCTTGGCCACACGTCCACTGTTCAATAGCAAACACAGCACGGTGCCACGAGGGGCTGGGGGCTCTAGAGGCCGCTCCCCAAGAGGCAGCTGGCCACCCTGGAGCCCCCCGTCTGCTGCTGGAACACGTCGATGGTGTCCTCGTCTTCCATCTCCAGCTGCAGGCACAGAAGGCATATCAGTGTCTTCTCATCCTGGGGGAGGGGGGACCCACCCCCACGCACCTGAGCCGTGAGCCTGCCCCCAAGTGGGCACATGAGGACAGAGGCTCAGCTATGGGTTTCCAGTTAGCCCACTTCTTCCCCAAGTTCTCCTAACAGAATCCACAATGCTAGAACCTTGACTGACAGAGAAACTAAGTCCTGTTAAAAACAAAGTGTCTCAAGTCTTACTGAGAAGTATACAAAATCAGATTTCAGCTAGGAGAGAATGACCAGAAGCGCTGAGTCCTGGGGACGTCAGAGGTGGGGGTGGAGTCCACACGGGTGCTGCCAAAGCCAACTCCATCCCAAAGGAAGGGGTCCCTGCTGGCCTCCCCATCCCGTCGAGTAGCATCCTGCTCAGAAATCAAGAGCAGTACCCCTGAGGGGGAGGTGGGAGGGCAGGGGGAGGACTCCTGTTGCAGACATGACACAGAACGAGCATCGGCAGAGAGGCTGGGGAGCCCACGGCTGCCCCCTCCCTCTGTGTAAGTGGCATGCAGTTCCCCACAGAAGCAGAGATGAAACCTCTACAGAGCAGCCCTTTCACACTAAAGGCTGGCTCATTCTCCCCACGCTCGACCCCACAGTCGTCCGGCTGACAAGAGCCAGGAGTGCAGCCTGGACCCCAGGCTCTCCCTCCACAAGTGATGTGCAGACCTGACAGAACTGCACGTGGTGGCAGATGCTGGAGGAAACGGAGCACGCTGCACCCTCTCCGCCCATGCCCCTTCCTCAGTGCTCAGAGGGCAGGAGATGGAGGCAGGAATGTAGCCGCAGACTAACGCTGCGGGTCCAGTGTCCCGACAACACGCGGTGGTGATCCTATCTGCCCAGCTCACCTAGAGCAGGGGTGGAGGTCAGGTCAGGGGGTGAGGATGCTTGGCCTCGGCCATGACCCTGGACCACCTCAGCTGAGAACCAGCCCTCCTGCTCCTTCTCCCAACACAGATGAGGCTGACAAAGTACATTTTTCTCATTTGAAAACTGAACCTCAAAATTACAAAATCTAATAATCTAAGCCATTAAGAAAATGTAAGGTGAATTCACTGGCCATCCAGTGGTTAGGACTCTGTGCTTCCACTGCAGGGGAGTGAGTTCAATCCCTAGTCAGGAACTACCTATCACAAGCCATGCAGCAACGCTCCAAAAAGAAAAAAAAAAAGAAAGTAGAAAATGTATGGTGTTCTATATGAGCAGCAATCAGTAACTCTCAAATGTGAGCATTCCTGATGGCAGTTACACACGCAGGTCAGAAGTAGCCCTTGAGTGTAGACCTGCTGGGTTCCTACCTGTGCTGGGGTGTCTGTTTCATTAATTGGTTGTCCATCAAACCTGAATCGAATCTGTCTCATTGACAAGCCCTGAAAAGAAAAGCAGTTATCACTGTGTAAGTATTTCCCGCTAACACATCAGTTCAAAAAGAATCACACATTCATCAAAACACCAGACTTCTGAATACACAGATTTATGACCCAGTTGACTACAGTCTCACCAGTAGGCCTGAAGCTCTGAGGCAGCTAGAAAACAACAGAGAGTTCCCCCGGGGAAAAGGGAGCCACAGAACACAGTAAAAAACAAGGACTCTTGAAAATCAGAAATCATGAAAGACACAAGATCACCCATAAAAAGTGGGAACAGAAAGTCGAGAAAACCTCCCAGAAAGCAGACCAAAGCAACAAACCCCATGCAGTCAGAGGAAATGATCCAGATGAACACACCTGGCACAGGTGACTAAATCAGATGGAATCCCACTGGAGAGGGAGACAAATTGTCACTGAACTGACAGAAGGTCCAGTTCCTGAACTGAACTGAGTTTCTAGGCCAAAAAGGCCGAGAACGTGCCCAGAAAAGTCTAAGACAAACCTGCCTACCTCAAAGCCCAGGAATAAAGTCCCGAAAGCTATCAGAGATAAACCACCTTACAACAAAAGACCGAGAATCAGAGCATCACTGAACTTCTCACACAAACGGGGGAGCCTAGAAGAATGTGATACAGCAACTCCGGAAAAGGAAAATGAATATCAACCTAGAAATTTATGTGCAGTCACATTACTCAAGTGTGAAGGTTTATAAAGCAAATCAGGTTCAGAGAAGCAGTACTCTTCTTATGCTTTCTGAGCAAGATACTGGAAGACACACTTTATCAAGACAGGGGAAGATTAGTCCAGAAAGATTAGTCCAGGACGGGGGCCGAAGTCGTGGGCAGGATTTCTGGGAGGCTCTGGGATGACCGCAGAGCAGCAGCCCAGGCGGGGCAGGAGGGAGGAGGCCCAGGTGGGAGATAGTGCAGCAAGGCAGGAAATGCAGGGCATAAAGTCATGATGGGACACCCCGAAATCCACACACACAGCCACCACCAGACCAAGAACAGGACTCAGACAAGAGCCAACAATAAGCACAGGCTGCTGTGTGGCTGGGGCGGCTGCCTGGTCACAAAAGAAGCAGATTCCAGTGCAGGCTGGGTGCAGGGAGGGGGCTGTGTATGGGGGCAGGGGCTGGCTGTATGGACCACAAGTCACAGAAGTCCCACCTTTCACAGGTGAAAATAGTCTCCAAAATCCAAAATTTCTCCACGAAACAGAAGCACAAGTATATTTACCAAGAAAAAGTGGAAGAAAAAAAAAAAAAGCTGGAATTGACAGTGACCTCCTCTGAGGAATAAAGCCTGAAAAGAGGGGAGAAAGAGGAAGGCATGGAGTTTTTTTTTAGGTGTTTTTAATAGTAACAGCAAACAGGCCAAGGCAAGGGTTGTCAAAGCCAAGAGTGGAAACTAAGGTCAAGGATTTCCGCATCCCCCACAGAGGACTGGCTCCTGTGCAAAGCACCAGGGGCCCCAGGGCACAGTCTGACACGGACACTCAGGGCGTCAGCGTCTCTGATTACCATGGGAAGGCGCCAGTGAGGCAGCTCTGTGTCTTGTAAAGCAGTAAATAAAGGGAAATGATGCTTTTGAACTGTGGTGTTGGAGAAGACTCTTGAGACTCCCTTGGACTGCAAGGAGATCCAACCAGTCCATTCTAAAGGAGATCAGTCCTGGGTGTTCATTGGAAGGACTGATGTTGAATCTGAAGCTCCAATACTTTGGCTACCTGATGCGAAGAGCTGACTCATTTGAAAAGACCCTGATGCTGGGAAAGATTGAAGGTGGGAGAAGGGGATGACAGAGGATGAGATAGTTGGATGGCATCACCAACTCAATGGACATGGGTCTGGGTAGACTCCGGGAGTTGGTGATGGACAAGGAGGCCTGGCGTGCTGCGATTAATGGGGTCGCAGAGTCGGAAACGACTCAGTGACTGAACTGAACTGATTAAGTCTGTCTGGAGCAAACTGTGCCAGGGCAGTGTCTCCACAGACACAGAGGAGGAGGGATGGAATCCGTGAGAACCCACCGCTCAGATTCCAACAGTGCCAGACACCTGCCCCGCCCGGGGAAGCCCGGCCAGCCTGCACGGACACGAGCACACACACAGGCCCCTGCACACACATTCCACCGCCCCTCCCCACACCTGGCGCTCGCAGTAGGCCTTCATCAGCTTGCTGAGCGGCGTATGTCTCTTGATCTTGAACTGGACCACGGAGCCGTCCTGCCCGGCCACCTTCAGGTTGATGTGGTCGTTCTCCGTCTTCACTCCCTCCTGCAAAGACATGTGGATCTGGGTCTCCACCTGTCGCCCCACAACCACCACTGCTTCTTAAACGTCCCCGGCAATTCAGTCACTGGTGTGTCTGTCGTATTCCTATACAGAACTGACTTATAACTTCTGCTTGCTGAGTCAGGCAAATGCCCTGCCAACCTAGTGTTTGTCACAAACGTCAGCTTAACGGGAAAAAAATCTGCATAACACCAGAAAACAACAGAGAGAAGAGCCGCCTTTGTTTTAAGGTTGCTCTTAACAGTGGAGCACAGGGGACTTAGACTCAAATGTGAGGGTGAATAAGACACCAGAGACGTCTCTGGCCAGAACAGCAGGCTGCGCAGTAGCTCAGGGTCCAGGCTGCCCGCAGCTTCCCTGCTTGCCTCCCAGGGGGGCCACCTCAAGTGCGTCCTGGGTCGCCAGTCCGAGCTGAATGGGGTCACCGCCCTATCCTATTCTGACATGACCCATGGGACGCTCCAAGCTGCTGAGCATCAGCAAGGTCTCTGGTCCTTGGAAATTACTGGAAGTTGATGCAAGAAGCTGGTGTTCCGAGCAGAGCTCAGCCCGAGAGCAAGCTGCTGGGGAAAAGAGGAGTCTCTGCTTTTTCACAAAATGATGAAGCTGACCTAAGTCAATTTGCACAGTCTGGATGGAGACCAAGGCGAGTTTGTGTGCTGTCCTGGCCAAGTTCTCCTCTTCCTGGGGCTCTCCTTCCCCACCGCTCCCCCTTCCAAGCCCTGGGAACTGCTCCCCACCACATGGAGGGGAAAGGAAAGGAGGCCCCTGGAGATCAGAGTAGGGGAACTCGGAATGGCTCTGAGAAGTGGTCCCAGGAGGCAAGACTCTAGCAATGAACCCCCGTCTGATGAAACTGGGGGGGTCCTACGATCAGCACCTCACCACTCCCCAGAGACCAAGAATGCATTTGCTTTTTCATCTTTTCAAATAAAGGTTTTATTTTTAAATAATCCTACATTTCCAAAAAAGTTGCCATACAGAGGCAGAGCACTCCTACATGCCCCACTGGGTCTCCCTGGTGTTAACATCTCACACGCTGCAGTATGCATCCTGCCCAAGAACACAACACCAGCACACCACTAGCAACAAAACTGCAAGCTTTTCTGTATTTCACCAGTTTTTCCACTAATACCATTTTTCTGTTCCAGAATCCAATCCAGGATACTTCCTTGCATTTACAGATAAGATTTCCTCTCCATTTATTCTTTTACTTCTTTGCTGTTCATTGTGTTAAAATACACACAAAATTTACCATCTCAGCCATTTTTAAGTGTACAGTTTCTAGTATAAAAATACAACCGTCGCCACCATCCATCTCTACAACTCTTTTCATCTTGTAAAACTAAACTCTGTCCCCATGAAACCGTCACTCGTCCTCCCCCAGCCACTGGCAACCACCATTCTTCCGTCTCCATGAATCTGACTCCTCTAGGGACCTCCTATAAGTGGATTCACAGTATCTGTCCTCTTGTGACTGGCTTACATCAAGCAGCATAATGATGTCTTCCAGGTTCATCCCTGATGTAGCAAGGGTCAGGATTTCCTTCCTTTTTAAGCCTGAGTAATACTGCTGTACACATAGACCAGGCCTGCCTGGTGGCTCAGGTGGTAAAGAATCTGCCTGCAATGCAGGAGACCTGGGTTAGATTCCTGGGTGGGGAAGATCCCCTGGAGAAGGAAATGGCTCCCACTCCAGTTATTCTTGCCTGGAGAATTCCATGGACAAGGAGCCTGGCGGACTATAGTCCGTGGGGTCGCAGAGCTGGACATCACTGAGTGACTAACACTTTCACCCAGCAGTAGAGTTGCTGGAACATATGGAAATTCTGCTTTTAATTCTTTGACGAACTTCCATTCTCTCTTCCATGGCAGCTGCATCATTTTGCATTCCCACCAACGATTCCAACTTCTCCATATCCTCTCCAGCACTTGCTGTTTTCTGTTTTGATTTTTTAAAGTAGCCATCCTAATGGGTGTCAGGCAGTATCTCGCTGTAGTTCTATCTGCATTCCCCTGATGATCAGTGATGTCAAGCATCATTCCATGAGCTTCTTGCCTATTCGTATGTCTTCTCTGGAGAAATGTCTATTCATGTTTTTTTGCTCATTTTTTAATCAGGTCACTTATTTTCTTGTTGAGTTTTAGGAGTTCTCTATATAGTCTAGATATTGATCCTTAATCAGATATGCAATGTAGAAGGAAAATCAAAAGAGAGTCAGTGTTGCTCAGAGAGCCCCTCAGACAGAACCCAGAGACCACTGAGAACGGGACTCATCTCAACCCAGATGAAATCTGACCTGTGACCACGTCCTTTCCTGACGAAGCATCCAGGATAGCTGCTCAAAACTCGAGACGCCTGTGGAACCCTGACCCTGAAACAACGCATGACAGCCACCCCTTCAGGACACACATTTCCTTCTGTGTCAGAGTTCAACCTCGTGGTTCTTGCCTTTGTAAGCCCCTGATTCTTTCTCTTACCCAGAAAGCCCTTTGTTTTACCCAAATCTGTGTCTCCCAAATCACAATTCTTAACACCCCAAATTACTTTCTTTTTTTTCCCCCATTTATTTTTATTAGTTGGAGGCTAATTACTTTATAATATTGTAGTGGTTTTTGTCATACATTGACATGAATAAGCCATGGATTTACATGTATTCCCCATCCCGATCCCCCCTCCCACCCCAAATTACTTTCTTATTTGCAGCCTTCTGTGGGATTTTTTGGGTTGATAGTGATTTGAAGATATCATCTCCCCTTTCTGTGGTTGCCTTTTTACCCTGTTCACAGTGTCTTTTGATGTACAAAATTTTTTAATTTTCATAAATCATTTTTTTTTCCCAGGACACCTATGTCTTTGGTGTCATAATCAAGAAATCACCACCAAGTCCAATGTGGTGGAGTTTTTGTCCTATGCTTTCTCCTAAAAGTTGTATTAATTCTTACATTTAGGTCTTTGATGCATCTTAACTTTCAGATCTAGTGTTGAGAAGGGTCCAACTTCATTCTTTTGCACATAGACAGATGATGCATTTACTTTATTAATGAAAAAATATGGGTGTGTTTAAAACAGAGAGATGCAGGGGCCAGAACACAAAGAGGGCGGTGGCTACAGACCAGGCAGAGGAAGGTCAGACCCGGGGTGAATCCCTAATAATCAAAACTTGGAAAAAAGGAAAGGGAAGGATGAAACCCTAAAAACCAGAGCAGGGTTCACCCGGTCAGTCCCCTACCTGGACTCTCCAGGGGAGGCAAACTGTCTTCCCAACTGGTCCACAAGGTTTTCTTTGCACCGAGATGGCCTGGGGGTGTACCTCCTACCCCTCCCCCCCAGGCCGGAAGGAGAGAGAATACTCTGAGCCAGAGCAGCCCGGCAGGAACCGAGGCCTTCGAAGACAAAGGGTGGGGCTTGAGGCACAACCAGCTCGCTGTCTTGGAAGTAGTTAAAACAAGTTAATTCTACTGAACTAGACCTTGGACATTGAACACATGGGAGTGTTAAGCTTAAGCTCACCGAAGGGATGAGTACTGAGCGTATTTCACTGTATCTCACTGCATTTAAACTCAAGATGAGGAGACCACCTAGAGGTCATAAAGGAAGGCAGTGACATCTGCTCGCACCCCCACCGGAAAAGCAAAGGCAGCTCCTAGGAGGCTCCAGGGCGGAAAGGGCCGCGTCCACCGGGGCCCCACCGTGGAATCCCGTCCAGGGGCTCCGTGCAGGCGCACCCATCCCGGTTCCGCCTCCCGTAAGCACTGGGGTGCGACCTCCAAGCAGCAGCAGCGGGGTAAGAGAGGCTGCGCACAGAGCAAGAGAGCAGACGAAAAGCTCCAGAAACCCGTTTCCAAGACAAGTTTTCACGGCCGCGGACCTTCGCGAGGACTGCCGGCCAGGGCACCAGACTGCGGAGCGCACACCGGGGAGCCCACTGGGCAGAGCGTGGCGCACACCCGGCAGCTGCGACGCGGGATGGGCGCACACCCAGGGGGCCGCAGAGGATCCCCTGCCCGGCCTGCGCCCTCTGGGTACTCCGCAGCGAGGACTGAGGAGGGGACCCCGCGCACGCGGGGCAGTAGAGCCCAGGCCGGCCGGTCCCCGTGAGGGGCATAGTTAGGGAGGGTCCCGGCGAGGGAAGAGGTCCTGGGTAGGGGCGGTCCCAGAGAGGGTTTGGGGACGCGGGTGACGTCGGCGGAGGGAGAGGGTTCAGACTAGAAGGGCCGGGTTTCCCAGACTCGACCCAACCCCGCGGGACTCCCCGCAAGGCGGGCCCGGCTGAAGCCGGAGGGGTGGAGCTCAAACAGTGGAAGCGGGACCTGGGCGGAGTCGGAGCGCGAGGGCGGGGTCTGGGTAGGGGCGGTGCCTGGACTGGGCGGGGTCGGAGAACGAGGGCGGGGTCTGGATAGGGGCGGGGCCCGAGGGAGTGGTCTGGGTAGGGGCGGTTTGGGTTTCTCCTCGGACATGGCTGCGCTCGGAAGGCAGCGGGACAGCAGGCAGCCCCGAGCGAGCGACTCACGCTCTCGGCCCGCCGCTCTCCCGCCGCAACTGCTCGCGGGGCCGCGCTTTGCCCCCAAATCCCTGCGCGCAGGTTGGCCGGCGCGGGTCACGTGGCTGTCGCGCGTGCACGAGGCGCGCTCCCGGACGTCGGGCGCGTGCCCGGTCGGTCAGGGTTCCTGGCTGTTGGAAATGCGTCACCGGGCGCGCCCTGCGCGGTCAGGCGTCTGGCCTTCGGGGGTGCTCCGGGCAGCAAGGCCTGGGGCCGCGGAGGGGTGGGGGCGCGCTGCAACTCGGGGAGCGCACAGAGCAGCTAGGATCGAGGTCAGGGACGGTGCATAGGGCAGCTGGGGTAGCAAGGGGTAAGCTGTGGGGCAGGGGGCGCTGAGACCCAGAGGTGCCCCGGGCAGCGAGGGCCCGGGGGGCCGCTGGAAGGCGCGCGGGGACCCCCAAGGGTGCCCAGAGATCCAAGCCATGAGGCCTGACACCTGATCTTGGAGCCTGAGAATGGCCTGTTCACCTCTTCAGTCCCCGTCTCCGAACTGGCTCCTCACCGCAGCTCCACCAGCCAAGCCCCATTGCACTCACTGGCTCCTATATAGTGCGTGCGTTTCTCAGAGGGAAACAAGGAAAATAAAGCCAGCCAGGCGAACCACCTCCACAGTGGCCCCAGGAGACCTGAGTGAAAGAGCTGCTCTGGAGGGGACCCCCGATACTAGGAAAGGCCAGCTAACCTCCACTGAGGAGCCTAAAGTCAGGTCATGAGGAAGTGGGAGTGAGAAAGAATGCCTCCCAGGCCGACCCACCTGGCATCTCCGTCCACAAAGGACGCATGGTGTGTTCATTTAGCAAGGCCACGCAGGCTCCAAAGTCCACTGCCTGCACCCTGAGCTCCCGGTGAACAGAGGCATCAAGGGGCCTTTCTAAGAGGGCCTCGGGGTGGTGGAAAGTCTCTAGTTCCATCCACTTTTCAATCTGTGCTCCCCGACTGTGTGTGGCTCCTTCCTCTCCCCTTGCCCAGCCCCCTTCAGGGTCCTTCTGAGCCTGGCGAGTGGAAGCTGAGCACCTGGGGAGACAGTGATCTAGCCCATTGGGTTCAGCTCATTTCCTGTCAATAATGAAAGGCCATAAAGTCAAGTTTTCATGGACCTTAATTTAATCGTTTTTAACTCTTATTAAAAATTCACTTCCTGGGACTTCCCTGGTGGTCCAGTGGTCAAGAAACTGCCTTGCAATGCAGGCAATGCTGATTCCCTGGTTGGGGAAACTTAAGATCCTACTGGACTTGAGCCCACATGAGCTGCCACGAAAGCTCCTGAGTGATGCAAAGATGTGCCATGACTAAGACCTGATGCAGCCAAAATAATTTTTTTTAGTTATTTAAGAAAAGAGAACACTGACAAAACATTGTCAAAATCAACTTAAAAAAAAAAATTCACTTTTGTGGCTAGAGGCACCATTTAGGAGAGGGGGAAAGAGCGCCCCAGAAAGGAGCTGCCACATCACAGACTGAGTCTCTCAGTTGAAAGGTGTGGTCAGACCGGAACTCCATCTCAGCTAGGTCCAAAAGTTTGGTCCCTGTCTTCCTGGAATGTGGCTGGTGGTGTCTGTTCCAGAAGATCTTGGCACAGTGACCAGCTCAAGGGGTGCTTCCTGGAGAAGGGAGTCTCTGGAGCTGGCCCCTTCCAGGACAGAGGTGGACAACTGGGACCAGAATCACCCCCTGCCCCCAGACGACTGGCTGTGGTGTAGCTTCAGATAGGCAATGTTCAGACCCATCACCCATCAGTGACTCTAAGACACCAGCAGCTATAAAATGACATTGTTTTATTTAACACAGACTCATTAAACTATGCAGGTTACATGTTAGAATTGATGAAATACAGTGTCTAAATGTGTTACAAAAGGAATTACACTATGGTTCATTCATATAATGAACAGCTATGCCACTATTAAATGTGTTGAAAAAAAAAGTTGATAACAGGAAAAGATGTTCATATGTTGATGACTTTTTTTATGAAGCAAATTATAAAACTATTATGGTTTTGAACAACCAGAAAATTTGTATAAAATATTTTGAAAATCTGAAGATACCAGATAGCTGCCAAAACAGAAAAGACTTTT